CGATGAGGTGAACGGTTGACGGCGACCGGATCTGAGGATGTATGCGGGAGGACGTCGACGAGATTGGTTGCCTAGGCACTATCGTTTCCTGTGTCGCCATCGGCAGCGGACGGCGGATAAACGGTCAGAGCATCTTGCGTCGCGGTTGGCGGCGGAGTCACGGCGGAGTCAGGCTCCTCTCTTGTGTGTGTGTGTGTGTGAGCAGAGTGTGTGTGTGTGTGCGCGTGCGCAGAGTGTGTGTGTTGGGTGTAGTGTGTGTTTTGTGTGAGTTTTAATGTGATATAAATATTAGGGTTGGTAGGTAAGGAGAAATTACAACACTACCCTCAGGTATATTATTTGACCAAATATTATTACTTATTTACTATATTGCCATTAATGATTGACTATTATTAGTAAAGTTTGACTTGATCATGGACATTGATGGGATAAATCTAGTGGTCCAAAACCATTCTTATTTCTTTCATTGTGTTTCATTCTCATTTGAGCGTATATATATATATATATATATATACATACACTATTGGGTTGAAAATTCAAACTAAGATTAATATTTTGTGTGAATTTCAAATGGTAACGAAATTTTTATCGTCTTTGATTTTGATATTTGATGATATCAGTATGCTTAAAATACTAATCACTATTATTGTAAACGTAATGCAATTTTTCTATGTCTTCCTTTTGCAAGAGAGTTTACGTTATCATTATGAAATTATATTAAAAAGAAAATCTATTAAGGCACATCCCCCCTATATATTAATTCAGAACACGCTGAGCCTACGTGGCTGTTTCTGGTGCTTCGGAATCCTATGTGGCAAAATTACATGTTTCGTTATTAGGCTTGGATAAATTTTAATTTAATTCTAAATTAAAAATAATTAGGTTCGGATTACCATAAATATTGATTATTTATGGTCATGTTACATGTATTAATTGCATTTTAATATCATTCCTTATATCATTCCTTATTATAACTATTGAATTGTATATATATTTTAAAAGTTAATAACTTTTGTATTTTTTATCAGTTTTACATATGTAATATATCAAATTAATCTTCTTTTGATGAGCTTCGATTTAACATCCATATTGTATGTATAAAAAAAATAATTTATATTTATCTTTATAACAATAATAAAATTATTTTTAATATTAATTAAAAAAAATAAAATTATTTATTAACTAATATATTTATATTTCAAGTAGTTATATGATATCAGTTATAAAACTAATATATATAACACATGTAAGTCATAAGTAACACATATCATTCTAAAATATATAGTAATATATTTTTTTTTTACAAAAAAGTAAACTAAATTTAATATAGTTTTCTCATTAATTTTAAGTTTAAGAAAAATTTTTAACAAGCACCCGTGTAATACACGGGTGTTGTACTAGTAATAATAATAATTAAAAAAAACTAACAATATTATTAGTTCTATACAATATCAGACTTAGAGAACAATGAACGAACTAATGTCCCCTCAAGTATCTCGATGGAAATCCCCACCAACAGAGGCGGATGCACCTTGTTCCAAGGGGGGCATTGTCCCCCCCCCC